AGAGACAAATCACCGTGCGCAGCCCCCCTCGCCCCTCCCCGCGCCCCCCGTCTTCCCTTCAGTCAGTTCGGTGACTCAGCCGCCCAGGCAGGTGCGTCCCTCCCGCACCGTCTCCAGGCTCCGGCCTGTTTGTTACCCAGAAGGCAGGTTCCCAGAGCAGCTCCGGTTAGTGACGGCGAGAGGGCACGTCCAGGGGTGACAGGAGCCGAGCCCGCGGTGGAGAACCCCGTCCTCAGCAGCGCAGAGGGGCGGGGAGGGGCCGCGGAGAGGTTCGTGGGGAGCGCGGGGCACGTGCGCAGATCTAGAGATTAAGGATGAGGGAAGCGCTCAGCTCAGGGGGCCCCCGGGGGACTGCACGCAGGGCCTGGGGCAGGGAGGCGCCTCCTGCCTCTACGGGGAGTGTGGGCTCCCCATAGTCTGTGCGCCTCCGCAAAGCAGCGGCAGCGAAAAGCTGGAGGCATGACCTTCTCCTAGGCCCGTGGAGCTTTCTGGGGTGGACACGTTCCCGCATCTGCGCCCTGCAGCCGCAGCCCCAGCCCCAGGTGGCCTTCGGGCGCTTCCAATGTGCGCCCGTGTGACTGAGCTGCATTTTTAAATTATTTTTTAAGTTTCTTTATTATAGAGTTTAGAGAGAGGGGCAAAGCTGAGAGAGAAACATCAATTTTTGTTCCATTTGTCTATGCATTCATTCATTGGTTGATTCTTGTATGTGCCTGACCGGGGATTGAACCTGCAACCTTGGTGTATTGAGATGATGTTCTAACCAACTGAGCTACCAGGCCAGGGGTATTCTATTTTATTTTACTTTAACTTTGTATTCCCACCCAAAGGTAATTTTTCCATTGCTTTTCAGAGAGAATGGAAGGGGCGGGGGGGGGAGAGAGAGAAACATTGATGTGAGAGACATCCATTGGTTGCCTCACCCACAAACCCCAACCCGGACCAGGGACTGAACCTACAACTGAGGTACACGCCCTTGGCTGGAAAGGAACCCAGGAACCCTTCAGTCCACCAGCCAATGCTCTAACCACTGAACAAAACTGGCTAGGGCAGGCCAGGACGATTTTAATTAATTTTAATCCACTTAAATTTCAGTAGCCACGTGAGGCTAGTGGCCACCTTTCTGGAGAGCACATTATTAGACTAGAAATAGGTATCTTTATAGGTGTCAACTATTTTAAATATAGAAACATCTTAGAGGTCATCTGCTACAAAAGTATGATTGGTCTATATGCCTTGGGAGGTGTGGGTGCTCCTGACTATATCTAAATAAGCAGTGTTTTAGAGGGGTGCAGCTTCTATCCAGAACGAGAGCCGATCTGATTAGACAGAGTAAATAGAGGGTGGAAGCTTCTCCTCTGCTCAGCTGCTGATGTCTGCCTTTCCAAAACCATTCTCCTCAATTGCTTGGGCTCCTTAGATTAATCAGACCTCTATGGGTCCCTGGGAAGGAATAGTTGCATCTTCCATCTGTATCATTGCCTCTAGTTAACAAATTGACAGCAGCTTTGATATCTCTGTCAGGACTGGGGAGCAGCTGTGATCAGGGCTTCTTGGTCTAAAGTTTGTCATCAGGTCCTGGAGGTCACAGATGTCTCAAGCCCCTGCTTGCTAATGCCTGTAATTTCAGAGTATATGCCGTCCTTTGGTAGCTAAAATGCACCCCTCTGGAGAAGGAAATCTTTAAGCTCTTG